GAGTTAGAATACACTTAAGATCGAATAACTGACAGACTGTGCGGCATAAAACTCCAGCACGCCTCTGTGTCAAGCTTGAACTTGAGCGACTTCACAAAGCTAGCATTCAGGTTCAGGCACTTCTTCTTCTCAGGACCTTCTCCCTCCACAACTTCCTTCTTCTTATTCTTCTTCTTCTTCTTTCTATAAACAACCTCTTTGTATTCCTTGAGTTCATAGACAGACACATCCAAAAGCATGTACGCTTTGTGCGTGTACATTTCTAGGGCACTTTGCAAGTTCACCACAAGAAGAGCACCAGGATTCTTGTAATAAACAACATCGGTCTTGAAAGAACACAGTAATTCATACCTGACATCCACATCCCAAGCGAAGGATGATGTAGGAAACCAAGAGGCCCTGCTCGAATCAAACAAGGCTTCCTTGTACTCGGTCTTGGCCCTAGGGGAAATGTCGTAAGCCCCGTAAGCATCCAGGCACAGCTGAATCTGACCATCTTCGATTAGGAAAAAAACGATCACTGAAAGGGATTCTCTTGGACCCAAAAAACGAACCCTCCTTACGCCAACCGTTCTCCGGCTTATAGATATCAATTATGAAAATTCCTTCACTCGTTTGGACAAGCATTTCTGAGCTCGTGAGGAACGTGAATCCTTGTATTTCAAACTCGAGAAAATGGCGCCACCTCGGCCAAGGCAGGCAGTCCCGTAACGACGGGAGCTTCTGCCATTCCTTTTTTTCCGGGTCGAACACCTCGAAATCGATTTCCTCATCTATTTCTTCACCCACGGAATTCTCAGGGTAACGGGCACCGCCGATGAAAATGCTCATAGTAGATGAAAATACCACAATCCTCTTTCCGTCGGGCGTGGGGGTCACGAAAGGAAGGAATTTGGGGTACAACATTTCCGGCAAGGCCAGCAGCACGTCTTTACCCAAAATCGGGATTTCACCGCCAGCGACACCGCCGCCGTCTTTCAGGTACGGAGACAGACAGCAGGTATATATCGACTTCCCTAGCAGGGATCCCTCGATGGTAGGAATGCCCATCTCGATCATGTACAGGGTCGAATTCAGAACGCAGAAAGTGTAGTTCCCATCCAAAGAGATTCTATTGATGAGAAACTTGGGGCGAATGGCGATGAGTGACTTATCATTAACAGGGATGCCTGACGACTCATCACTAACATCGCCGCCGACTTCCAGTTGCACTTCGACGATCATTACGGCGTACGACGAAACTGCCTTATCTGAGTAAGGGTAAGAGTAAGAGCAAACCATGCAGACTTTGGTTGCACTGTCCATGTTTGAAAACTCTTGAGATTTCGAGATCTAAGGCACTGGAGTTGATCAAGTTATTGAATAATTCTCGATCAGCAAACATAGCGGATACTGGCAGCAAATATCAAACCCATCCAGAAATTTCACAAGCAAAGATGAACCCAACAGAGCACACTCCAAAAGGTATTATCACTAGAGATCCAGAAAACACAGTTAGAGACTAGAAACACACACACACACATAATCCCAAAACATGGATCAGCCAAGCTCTACAAATTATTTAAAAGTTCAAAACTAACATCATTTCTCAACTCATTTTGCACTAAAATTTTTTACAATTCCGAAGAAGGCAAGCAACCAGAGCCATGCTAGTATGTATTCAAGGACAAGCGAAAGAGAACACATTATACTGTGATGGTAAGGCAGAATAAAACTACCATCCAAAACACAGCTAAGAAAATCATATGCTAAAACTAAAACCCATTGAAAACAGAGTAAACACAAACTTAATCCCAAAACACAAGCAAAGATAGCAACCAGAGTTAGAATACACTTAAGCTCCAATAACTGACACACAGAGCGGAACAAAACCCCAGCACTGCTCTCTGCCAAGCTTGAACTTGAACGACGTCGCAAAGCTAGCATTCAGGCACTTCTTCTTCTCAGGACCTTCTCCCTCCACAACCTCCTCCTCCTTCTTCTTCTTCGTCTTCTTCTTCTTCTTCTTGTCGTTGTTATTCTTCTTCTTCCTATAATCCTCTTTGTATTTCTTGAGCTCATAGCGAGACACATGCAAAAGCATGTACGGTTTGTGCTTGTGCATTTCTAGGGCCGTTTTCAAGTGCACCACAAGAGGGCCATGGCCATGCTCCTTGTCATAAACCACATTTGTCATGAAAGAACGCTGTACTCCAAACCGGAGTTCCATATCCAAATCGAACGATAATGTAGGATAACGAAAGGCCATGTTCATTCTCGAATCAAACACGCATTCCTTGTACTCAGTCTTGGCCCAAGGGGAAATGTCGTAAACCCCTAAATCACCCAGGCACAGCTGAATCTTATCATCTTTGACTACCCAAAAACGGTTTCTGAAAGGGATTGTCTCGACCCCAAAATACGAATCCTCCTCACGCCAACCTACCGTGCTATCGATATCAAGTGTGAAAATTCCACACCCATTTGGAAAAGCATGTATGAGCTCGTGAGGAACGTGTATCCTTGTATTACAATGTCTTCGAAATAATCGCGCCCCGTCCCGAGCAGGAAGTCGCGTAACGACGGGAGCTTCCGCCAGGCCTTTTTTTCCGGGTCGTACACCTCGAAATCGATTTCTTCATCCACGGCATTCTCGAAAGAGCTCATAGCAATAGTAGATGAAAATACCACAATCCTCTTTCCGTCGGGCGTGGGGGTCACGAAAGGAAAAAATTTGGGGGACAACATTTTTTGCACTGAAGATTCTTACACATTTCAAAATTAACATGATTTCTCAAACACATTTTTTGCACTAAAGATTCTTACGAAAATTAATTCCGAAGAAGGCAAGCAACTAGAGCCATGCTAGTATGTATTCAAGGGCAAGCGAAAGGAAACACATTACTGTGATGGTAAAGCAGAATAAAACTAACATCCAAAACACAGCTAAGACAATCATTTGCTAAAGCTAAAACCAATTCAAAACTGAGTAAACATAATCCCAAAACACAAGCAAAGATAGCAACGAGAGTTAGAATACACTTATGCTCGAATAATTGACACACAGTGTGGAATAAAACTCCAGCACGGCTCTGTGTCAAGCTTGAACTTGAGCGAATCCACGGAGCTAGCATTCAGGAAATTCTTCTTCTCAAGACCTTCTCCCTCCACAACTTCCTTCTTCTTCTTCTTATTCTTCTTCTTCGTCATATCATCCTCTTTGTATTTCTTAAGGTTATACCGAGACACATCCAAAAGCATGTACGCGATCTGCGTGTACATATCTAGGGTCGTTTGCAGGCGCACCACAAGAAGATCGTGACGCTCCTCGTCATAAGCCACATCAGTCCTGAAATTATGCCGTACTCCAAACCCGACATTCACATCCAAAGCGATGGATGATGTAGGGAACCGAGAGGCCCTGCTAGAATCAAACAAGTGTTCCTTGTACTTGGTCTTGGCCCAAGGGGAAATGTCGTAAGCCCCGGAAAAATCGAGGCACAGCTGAATCTTACCATCTTCGATTACGAAAAAACGATCTTCGAAAGGGATTCTCTTGGCCCCAAGATACGAATCCTGCTTATGCCAACCGATCTCCGGCATATCGATATCAATTACGAAAATTC